TGTCCCCGTCCCCATGTCCCCATCCCCATGTCCCCATCCCCGTGTCCCTGTCCCATGCCCGTGTCCCTGCAGGGCTGTGCAGCTCCTGGGCTGTGGGAGCAGTGCTCGGTGCCAAGCCCCAGTGCTGGCCCTGCTCCTGGGCTTTCCCCCTCCTGCCCTGCAGCAGCTTTGCTGCTTTTTCCTCCTTTTCTGGCACTCCTTTTGGGTGGGGGTGCAGGGATTGTGCTTTTTGGTTCATTGCTACTGATTTCCTGTCAGATATTTCCTCTGGAAAATATTGTGCCTTAGTTTAGCCACGCACGTCTGTGCTGAAATGGAAATTGCACCTGCTGAAAAATCTCATGCAGCACAATCTTTTAAACTGAGGAATGGGGTTATATATAACACTCTGGGTTTCACTGTATGGATTTATTTTATTTTATCGATAAATACAAGCATAATGTTGTTCAGTAGAAGGCATATTGAAAACACCTGCCTTGTTCAGGGTAGAGAGTAACACCAACAACAACAACAAAAACCCGAGCAGTGTGCTGCAGGTAATTCATAAAAGGTGAATAATTAAAGCAGGAGCTGCTGCAGCAGGTGGAGGGAGGCGGGGAGGTGGGAGGCCAGAAATGGAGTTTCTCCAGGATGGAGATGAACCATGAGGCGTGTGGCTGAGGTAAAAGCAGATTCCAGACCTTTTTACAGCTTGACCTGTCTCTGTGTCCACCATGAAGAAAGGAGAGACCACGTGTTTGGCTGTGATTTATGGGTCAGTTGTGGTTCCTGGGCTTTGTTTGGTAACGCAGGACGGGGATCCCACGGATGTGGGATGTGCTGGGTGTTCCAGCAGTCCTGGAGTTCCCGTGGCTCTGCTCCACACCTGCCACTGCAGCTCGAGTTCCCAGATCCAGCATGAATCCTGCAGGTGAGGGTAAGCCTGGAGGAGCAGGACAGCTCTGGGGACAGGAACTGTGCTGTCTCTGCTCAAAAAATCCTTCCTTTAGTGTGCATTTCAGAGGAAATGGCTTTTGGCTGAGGAGGGGAGATTTAGACTGGATGTATGGAAGGAATTCCAGCCTGTGAGGGTGGGGAGGCCCTGGCACAGGGTGCCCAGAGCAGCTGAATATTCCCCTAAATCTCATTTTCTCAGCGATGCCATTGGGCTGATCGAGAGAGACCCACCATTGTTATCTTCTCATGGAGGTTCTGCTGCCTCAGAGCTCAGATTGCTTTTATTTAGTAATAGTGCTAAGATTAATTGCTGGATGTGTTTACAAGCCAGTGAGAACTGTCATGTGCTCCTGAATATATCCTGCCAGTGGGATTCTTCTCTTGAATGATCTTCAGGGCTTTTTTCCAAGTTAAAAAGTTCCAGTTGTGCCTCTGAGTGAGGGGTGACTGTTGTTCAGTCAGTCTGGTTCTCCTGCCTGGGAGCTTTATTCTTCCTGCAATGATGAG